TCATTTCTTTGCAATAACCATCTCAGTTTAGAACTAAGGCAAAGAATGGTTAAGTGCTATGTTTGGTCTGTACTTTTGTATAGTGCAGAAGTGTGGACGATAAAAGTATTGATTATGAACAAAATTGAAGCATTGGAAATGTGGGTTCATAGACGAATGCTGGATGGAACCTTGGACAGCAAGAAAAACTAATGAAGAAGTACTAAGGAGCATCAACAAAGACAGAGAACTGCGAAAAAAAGACAGAGAAAGACTGTTAAACATCAAAAAATGTCTTATCTAGAACATATAGTAAGGGGAAGTCGATATAAAATTTTACAACTGATCCTTAAAGGCAAAATAGAGGGTCGTAGACGTGTAGGAAGAAAACAAGTTTCTTGGTTAAAAAACATTCGTGAATGGACTCAGATACCAGATGCAGGACAATTATTCCATATTGCAGAAGATCGAGAAGCTTTCGCAATGGTGATCGCCAACGTCGGATAGTTCTGATATGGCACGAGAAGAAGAAGAAGTTTCAAGTGACCATCATGCCTAGACGTAAGTTGGATATTGATTAATGAATTGCAAATGTGCATAAATACTTTAGCATGCAAAGAAACAATGGTGGACCTTTAAGCCATTATTATGTATAAATCAACGCGTTTGTGACGCACTAAGCGACACAAACTATAAGCGACAGTAAGCTAAAAACTGTAATGAAGACTGTTAGAGATTCTCAAGAAGATCTTATTGTGACTGAGTATCACGAAGACAAGAAAACAACTCGTAAAATTCTAGGAGCATTGACTTACTTGATGGAGAAAAATTTGAAATTCGCAATATTTTAATTAAGAAGACTAGCCTTTGGAAAGTGTTAAGAGATTTAGGATTTAAATTCAAAAAAGAAAATAATAGGTTACTTTTATGCGAAAGGAGTAGTGTGGTTCACAAAAGAATTAAATTTTTGAGAGAATGTACTAGACTTAAATCTGAAAATGCAACATTCGTATACTTAGATGAGACATGGATATTTGCAAAGGGTGGAATTAAAAGAATTTGGCAAGACGACAGCATAAAATCCATAAAACATACAGATAGCGAAGGCAAACGACACATCATTCTTTATGCAGGAGAGAAAGAAGGCTTGACAAAACCCAGAAAAAACGCAGATTTGATTTTTTTTAATCAAAATCTGCTGATTATCATGAAAACATGAATGAGATATGTTTATTAAATTGCTTGAGGAAAAACTGTCACATAGTCTGAGTGAACCATCAGTTATAGTTTTAAATACGCCTTCAAATCAGAGTTATTGGAAATTTCGAAACGTAATGAAAAACCAACAGTTTATATAATTGACCAAATTGTATCAGGTTATGGACATCAAGTACTACGGTTACCGCCCTATCACTGCCAGTTTAATCCCATCGAACACATATGGGGTATATGTAAAACGTATTATGATAATCACGTTGGATGCAGTGGATACAGTGACGATGCAGTTAGGGATGCAATGTGGCAAGAAGCTCCTAAAACTGCAACTCTAGAAATATAAACCGAAACTGTAAATAAATGTGTAAAATTAATATAATCCAGTGATTATAGATTTACGTAATGATAGCGGTAGTGAATTAGTGACGATGATGATGATTTATAAATTTAAATAATCAATAAAGCAGTATTGCAATGCCCGGCAGAGCAAAAATACGAAAGATGAAAGACGAGAACAATTAACGACGGGGTTGTCCGATATTTTAATTTGCAGACAATTATCCGTAATCTAGTAATATTGTGTACCTGTAAATATCATCCGTATAGTTTATTTTTATGTAATAAAGACGTATCGTTAGGATCGCGGACTTTTACTCTAACGTTAGTTCCCTTTGAAATAATAAAAGAACTTTTAATTAAGACCTACAGTACCTTTCATTTGAACCTTGAAGGCTTGAAGGAGGTCTCGCAGTTATTGATTTACTTTAGAAGTGAACGCACGAATCGCCGTTTTGATCGAAACGTCGTTGGGGTATCATATACCCGGCCACACAGGTAAGTTGATATATTTATGGTAGTATTGTTTGAGTTGTGCATTCACATTTTTATATAATTTCCGTTCAAATTATTTATTTTTAATGAAAAGGTGAAATTTTATGCATAAATTATTTATGTTTTTGTTCTAGATTATGGCTTATCGATATGAACGGAAGCAGGCGGGGCTTCAAGCTTTATGGGACCATTCTCAAGACGACGATGTAGTATGGATCTGCAAGCGAGAACGAATCCGACAATGAAGACAACAGTAACCATAACTCTGACAGCGAGAAATATGCTATTGATTTAGAACAGTCAGTGGCTGATATAGAAATCGAAAATGAACTTTTGGGGCAAAGACAAGAGAGTCAAAAGAAACATTACGAAGGTAAGGACGGCACTAAATGGTCTTCAAAATGCTTTCCTATTAATGTAAGAACACGCTCAGTAAATATCATTACGCATTTACCAGGTGTAAAACGAAATGCAAAAATGGCGAAAACTCCCGTGGAATGTTTCAATTTACTTTTTACACCTAGTATGATGGATGATGTCGTAACTTGGACTAATATAAAAATAAGAAGGAAGTCTACTTACTACGATGAAAACCATCAGTATGCAGTTCGCGAAACCAATGCAACTGAAATAAGAGCATTGTTTGGACTATTGTACTTGGCTGGGGTGTTCAAGTCTGCTCGGCTTAATTTAGAATATCTTTGGTCTACCGATGCAACAGGAATGAGCTTATTTAGAGAGACGAGGTCTTTACAACGATTTATTTTTTTACAGTCTTGTCTAGTTTCTGACAATATAGAAAATCGAGAAGAAAGAAAAAAACTCGATAAAATGACTGCAGTTAGAGCAATTTTCGAAAAATATGTGCAAAATAGCCAAGACATATATATGCCAAGCGAATACCTTACTATTGATGAAAAGCTGTAGGCATTTAGAGGTCGCTGTGGTTTTCGCCAGTATATGCCGAAAAAGCCTGCACGATACGGATGGTCTTCTGAGAGATATTCGCTCTCGTTGATTCAAAATTATATTATGTTTTGAATTTAGAACTATACGTGGGAGTACAGCCAGAGGGACCCTTCCAATTGAGCAATAAACCTAGCGACGTAGTTCTTCGACTTGTAACTCCGATATCTGGAACCAAACGAAATGTAACATTCGATAATTGGTTCCCAAGTTGAAGCTTTTAAAAGGTCATCAACTCACGTCTATTGGAACTGTGAAAAAACAAAAGGCAAATACCTGAAAGTTTTATAACATCTAGAAACAGGCCAGTATATTCCTCAAAATTCGGATTTCAAAAAAGTATAACGTTAGTTTTACATATACCAAAAAAAGGGAAAGTAAATCTTCTAATGTCAACTTTACACCACACTCCTGATATTGACGATAATACTGACGAAAGTAAGAAACCAGAAATAATTTCTTTTTATAACGCTACAATATGTGGGGTAGATGTGGTAGATGAATTTTTGGCTTCATACGATGTTTCACGTAATAGCAAATTGGCTATTACGTGGCCCATTACAATTTTGTATACGATACTCAACTGTTCAGGTATAAATAATACAGAATACAAACAAATTCGGTCTACCAACTTAAAGCTTCCGCGAAAGTTACAAGTCCATCCTGAAAGAACTGTAACAAATGATGAAGTGCAATCAGGTAAACGAATGAAAGTTGCCAAAAGATGTACCTAATGTTTGCCCAAGAAAAAATGACAGAAAGACCTTTTATAATTGTGTGATTTGTAAAAAAGCTATATATTTAGAGCATTTAGTGGTGCATTGTGATTCTTGATATTTAGCTAAAAACAATTCAAATGTATTCTGTATGTTATGGTTTTTCCAAACATTCATTTTTTTTTAATAGTTCTCTGATTTTTTTATAATTGAGAAAAAATTAGTGTGACATTTTTTTATGCTGTAAAATGAGACTTTTTTGGAATATTCAAGTATTTCGTTTGCAATTTGTTTGTAAACACTAGTTCCTTTGATTTAAGTTTTTTATATGTTGAAAAATTTAAATCACAATATAAATTTTCTAAAAATGTGTTATTTTTATTTATTTTTTTAATTTGGGGTATTTGATACCCCACCACACAGGTTCTTACACTTTAGTCTACCACACTGGCACCGGGTTAATATGTAATTATAAACCACCACCAAACTCACTGCCGTAGATAAAAGCGTTATATGGAACGCACATAAAAGATGATGAAAATTAAATTAAATCGAATGTGCATAAAAAGGAATTGCTATTTTAGATAAAACAATAGTCACGTATATTGATCTAGAGGGTGTCCTAAATTTGTATGTTTACAGGGTATGCCAAAAACTGGAGGAGATAGAAAAAAAGTAGTTAAGATGTCATGACTTCTTTTTTCGTTTAAGTAGCGATTACCTAATGAAATCATCAGTCGCTCCCCATATTAGTGAGATACAGGGCGATTCTTGAAAAATGTCGAAAACGACAGGGTTAAATATCTTCTTTATTAAGAAAAATTAAAAAAACTTTATTAAAACTTTTAATAGATATATTATAGAAGCGTTCACTGGCATACGAGAATTTTTTATAGGGGTTTTAATACCAACTCATGTTTTTTTTTATATGGGACACCCTGTATATTTTGACATTTTTCTTTTGCATTTTTAATTCTCTTAAAAGAAGATATTCAACCCTGTCGTTTTCGACATTTTTCAATAATCGCCCTGTATATCGCTACTGTGAGGAGCTATTGATGATTTGATTGGGCAATCATTACTTTAACGAAAAAAGAAGTCATTACATCTTAACTACTTTTTTCCTATATCCTCTAGTTTTTGATATACCCTGCAAAACATACCAATTTGGTATACCCTGTACAATGCTAAAAGTTGTTTACTAACACTTGCTTATAACACATAAAAAAGTAACCAAAGGAAAATACTGAGTAATATAATACATATATGGATGAAAAAGACAATATAGCTTACCAGTTCTTGTTTCTTATGTTTTTGCTCTTCTAGCACATCATCATAAATATTATTATCGTCGTTTTCATCTTCTGGCTCTACAGGGGCAGTTTGTTGAAATCTACGATTTGTAGGAGGTTCTAAACTTGCTGATCTTCTCTTTATGTCAGGGCTTTCAGGTGGAACAGGTGGTAATTTTCTATTACCTACTGGTGATTTTTTAGATTCTATACGCGGCAAGTTTCTTATAGGGGGCAAAGCTGGAGCATCATCTTCACTATCAACGTTTGTTTGATGGTTGTTGGTGGCTTTTGATAATTTATTATTTGAGGATGGAAGTACTCTTTGTTTTGGAGAAAATTGATCTGCGAAAGATGGGTATTTGGTGCCAATATCGTCCGGTGTCAGGTATCCGTAATCGACCTTCGGATCATCAGGAGGTTCAATTGGTTTGATACTAGCTCTTCGTGGTAATGGAAAAGCCGGCCTTTCTTTTATTCTGGCAACTGACATTCCAGATTCTGATTTGGCAGTCTGTTGGTTTTCTATAGGTTTTGGTATAGGGGGTACATCGGGGCTGCTTAGAGGAAACTTAAGCTCCAAAGGAGGTTTATTAAACCGAGTGTTATTACTTTCAACATGCGGTACACTGGGTAATTTGACTGGAGGTTTAACTACATGAGATTTACCTGGAACTGGAAAAACACGGCGAGGCGGAAAAGGTTGAGGATCGGGTAGGCATTTTACGAGTACCGAAGGATCTTGTTTTACTTGACTTATGAATGTAGTTAAATTTTTAACTTGAATTCGAGGTAACTTCCAACTTATTGCTTGAAGTTCTTGAAATTCCTAAAATAAAATTGTTTAAACAAGTAGTTTGTATTTAGCAACGGCTTATTTCTTACCAAGAATGATTTTCCATCTATACCTCTATCTTTTAACAGATTTGCGATATCGTCATTGCCGCTCTAAAATAAATTAAATTAATTAATCAAGAAAGATTCTGTAGTATAGTAAAATTAAATAATTTATCGTGCATCCAAAAGGTGCAACCTTTAGTTCAAATAAACTAGTTATAACTAAATAATATTGCAAATATGTACATCGTAAAAAATAATTTAAATAATTTACAATTCACTTCCGCTAATAAATTTGTTAAATTTCACGTTTTGTATACAAAAGTTTTGCAATTTTATTTATACAATGGGTGCGTAAAGTATGGAAACATAAAGATATCTGTGATACCTCGTATGATATAGTAACAAAATGTTGGTTATGTATATTAGATGGACCAGCGATTTAAAATTTTTGTTTTGTAATTAATAGAATTCGGCAAATATGCATATTGCATATTTTGCATATTGTGCCTATTTTATGCAAATAATTTATATTTTGGCATATTTGTATAAAAGTTTGCATAAAGTGCATAAAAGTTCAGATTTTTATACTGTATTTGAAAATTTTTAAACATACCAATTTATTTCAATTCTTGTATAAAATTTTGTAGTCATTTTAATCAAGAAATGATCTAAGTATGTAATCTCTACAGGTACAAAACATTTACAATTTCAAAGAAGATCAATTTAAGTAGCCCTCAACAGTCTTAGAAAGTCTCAGTCACTGAGGCATTCAGTTATTGGATAATCGATAAGGGTTCGCTCATTTGCATTTTATGATCTAATCCCCAAATCTATCTACAATTTATTGTATCTTAACAGCAGGTAAACGGCTAATAGTTATGTTCCTAATTTAGGGATTTTCCAGAATCTCCCAGTTTATTGAATTAGGTACCTAAACATTTCTAATTTGATGCTCAGATTTGTAAATCATTTTTGTTTTGATATTCAAAGCGTAAACACTCGTTGTGCCTAACAAAAAGGAAGATTGTGATTTTATACTGCCTAAAACAACCAGTGCTTCAACTTGTATTAAACCTTATAAAGAGCTGTCTATGGATATGGGAAAAATCTACTGTTCAGTCTGTGGCAAAATTGTAAGTATCTAATATTTTTTATTAAATATCTAATATTTCATACATACAGGGTGTTTCCAAATGACACTTACAACGTTTGACTGTAGATACTTCTCGAAAAATTGAACAAAACGATATAGTTATTGAGGGGTCAAACTTATTTACTTTTCGAGATACAGGGTGTTAAAATTAAAAAAAAATTAAATTCTTTTAGTTAATAACAACAATAACTTTAAAACCAATAAACGTATTTACTTGAAATTTAGTACTCGTAGGTTGTTTTTAAATGAAAAATAGCTTCCTTTAGTGAGAAAAAATTGTCCATGGTACAATGCAATGGTGTGTATTTAGAAAAATTTTTCACCTTTACTTTTTTTTATGAAGCACAATTATTTTTATTGTAATTGAATTAACAAAAAAAAAACTTTTGTTGAATTTTAAAATAAGTTATATGATGTATTAATGGTTAGTAACAAAAACTAATTTGTGGATTAATACTGCATTTTAAATACTTAGCGAGTGTTTTTTTTTCCAAACCAGTTATTTGATTAACCAAAAACACCTTGTATATTTTTATATTTTAAAGGTTGGGTTAAAATAAAGGTTTTTATTTTTATTTATAGATAACATGTGAGAAGAAATTTCAGATAGACCAACATGTGAGAACTGCCTCACACATTGCAAAAAAAGGAAAAATAGGAGGAAAACATCAAACTTCAATGGCTAAATGTTTCCAATCTACTTCAAAAAAATTAGATGAGCAAGAAACTTTTAATGAAGACTTGTGTCGCGCATTAGTCTCTGCAAACATACCGCTTTCAAAATTAGCAAATGTAAATTTTAGTTCGTTTCTAAAAAAATATTGCAAACTTAATGTTCCAAGTGATCGGTCTCTAAGAAGAAATAATGTGAACGGGCTATACTCGTCGGTGTTAATTAATATTAAGGAAGAAATTGCAGATAATTATTTTTACATATCTGTAGACGAAACCACTGATTCCTCAGGAAAGTATATTGCTCATTTATTGATTGGTGTTCTTAAAGAAGATACCTTAGCAAAATCTCATCTTATTTCATGCCAGCAACTTGAGAAAACAAATGCTTTAACAATTTCGCGTTTTATACAAGAAACATTAGCAACTTTTTTTCTTCCGACAACTATTCCTTCTAATAAATTACTGCTTATTTTATCGGATGCTGCTCCTTATATGGTGAAAGCAGGACAAAATTTAAAAATATTTTTCCCAGATTTAATACATGTTACTTATGTAGCGCATGGATTAAACAGAGTTGCAGAGGAAATACGAAAAAAGTTTCCTCTTGTAAATACCATGATATCCAGTGTCAAAAAAGTATTTCTTAAATCTCCTATAAGAATTCAACTTTATAAAGAAATGCTACCTAACATTTCTCTTCCACCACAACCTATTTTAACGCAATGGGGAACATGGTTAGAAGCAGCTAATTTTTATGCAGATCATTTTGTTAAAATAAAGAACATAATTGATACGTTAACAGATGAAAGTTCCCAATCTCTTTTGGATTCTAAACAAACTTTTCAGAGTAACTTGCTTCAACAAGAACTTTCATTTATAAAATCAAATTTTAGTTTTGTTCAAAAAACAATTACTCAGTTAGAATCACCAAAACTGTCATTGTTCGAAAGTACAGCATTAATAAAAGAATTTGCGTCATGTTGTCGGAACGTTAGAGGTAATATTGGAAAAGATATTTTAAAAAAATTTGAAGCTACTATGGAAAAAAAATAAAGGTTACCATATTCTTTCTGAAGTAGTCAGTGTTCTAGCTGGAAATATTTCGGAAACAATTAATTTAGAACCAAATGTTTTGGTTAGTTTGAAAAATGCTCCCGTTACATCAGTTGATGTTGAACGAAGTTTTTCCATATATAAATATATGTACTCAGACAGAAGCCACAAGTTTTTGTTAGAAAATTTTGAACACCACTTGGTCATTTATTGTTACCATAATTCTAAATAAGTTTATTCATACTTAAAAATGATGTAGTTACTTAAAATAAATGTAAATCTTAATGAATAGTAGGAAATATTTAGTTATGTACAATTTTTTTTAAATAAAGTTTTATTTTTTTTTTAAATAAATATTTGTATGCATATTTTGTAAAATATTTGCATATTTTCGGGTAAACACGTGCATATTTATGCGCATATTTTCTATATTTTTATTTGCATATTTGCCGAAGTCTAGTAATTAATATTACTGTATAAACAGAAAGCACCTAAAGAAACAAATCAAAGGTGGTGTTTAATATGACCACCTTGTTTTTGGAAACAGAAATTCATTATAAGTGAAAATTCATTTTTTAAGACTTTTCTAATCATTTCCGGAGAAATTAGTGCTATCACTTCTATAATTTTGTCTTTCAGTTCTTGGATAGCCTGTTGCCTATTTACATACACTTTGCTTTTTAAATAACTCCATAAAAATAATCTAAAGGTGTTAAATCCGGGGATCTTGCTGGCCGTTTGATAGCTCTTCTTCTTCCAATTCAACGATTTGGAAATGTATTGTCGATAAATTCAGGAATGCCTCGAAGATAATGAGTAGGTGCATCTTAAGACTCAAGAAGGAGTATGGCTATTAATAGAAACTGATCGCTCAGAAACTGGACCTTTCACAACTTCGAAAATATAAAATTTTAAATCACTGGTCCATCTAATATACATAACCCAGATTCTGTTACTATATCATACATTGTATCACAGATATCTTATGTTTGTTTCCATACGTTGCGGTCACAGTATATTTTCACGAGAAAAAAAATTTACAATGAAAAAAAAATGTTACACATTTGATATTGGAGTATTGTAGCGACAAGCTAATTACGAATAATTATAACTTTTCTATTCAAAAATTAACAGATCTCACATTAAAATTTACATTTTCGCAGTTGGTAATACGTATACGAACATATATTTTGATATAAGGTTGAATGTTCGAATAAATGAACTTTGATCAAATTAAAGGCAGATATCGAGCACAGTTTTATTAATTTAATCTTGCCCAAGTACTTTCACTTCCTAGAGCATCTTCAGGGGCATTTCGTCAATTGTGACCTATCCGACAAGAATAAAATGTTATAAACATAAAATTGTTCATCACACTACACTACACAGGGAAAAACACTTTAACATTTTAAAAATAGGCGAAGCTACATTATATTCGGAAACCGGAAACAGAATCATTCTGTCTCCGGGTTCCGAACATAATGTGCGTCGCCTATTTTCACCAAATGATATTTCCGAGGGTTAATTTTAAGCCTCATATGCTAAAAGGTTGTTTGGTTGGCTGGTTAAACGAAATATTGTTTTTGGAATACCTACAACACTAAAAATCATGTGAAACCAACAGTTGAAAATACAGTTATATTACTTTTGGATAATCACGATAGCCACGTGAATATAAGTGTAATTAATTTCTGTAAGAAAAATGGCATTCTACTGATAACGTTTCATCCCCACACCAGCCACAAAATGCAACCGCTCGATCTAACAGTTTTTGGACCGATGAAAACCTACCGCCTGTAGCGAGTGGATGATTATGCACCCTGGACAACCTATTACGATTTACGATATAGCTGAACTTGCTGGTAAGACATTTCCAAAATCATTTACTACATCTAATATTCAAAAGGGATTTGAGGTGGGCGGTCTCTATCCCGTCAATGAAAATATTTTTGACGATAATGAGTTTCTGTCTTCGTATGTAACTGATCGTCTTTTAAACCATCTTACTGACAGTCGCGAGCAAGTCAATGTTGAACAAGACGGGAAACAAACTAAAACTACAGTTAATGAAATGGAAGTCTCTACTCCTTCTACCTCAAATATTCGTCAAGCAGGAACTTCAGGAAGTTCTATTACACCTGAAATGTTGCGACTCTATCCAAAGGCACCTGTTCGCAAAAAGAAGTTAGAAAGAGCAAGAGGAAAGTCACAATTGCAAATTATTACA